TTATATTTACGAATAAAAATGTCTATTTCGTGGACAAATAAAAGAAAATAACAGCAATAACTTGAACAAATACTTTAGAATAAAAAAGTTTAAAAGATCATGAGAGATTATAAAACATGCTTAGAGCGTATTACCATCTTTTTTTTTCCGGACCATACGATTAATAGAATAATATGGAAAAAAAAGAATATGTTTAAAAATAAAACAATAAAACAACGTCTATAAAAATTCGAACAAAAGTTTAAATAAATTAAATAATAATCGCTCTTTTCTGTCCAAAAAAAGAAAAAAAAATAAATAAAAATTGTTTCCTTAAAGTTTAATGTAAAGCTGGATTGAAAAAATTGGCCATATCTATGGGTCGGTCTTTGAGATATTCAGAGATCACATTAATATAAGGTGGATGTAAATAATCTTCAAACCAGGAATCAATATATAGTGAATCTAGGACAGCTTTTGTATTTTGCAAGAAAAGATTCATCGATTTGGCTCCAATAAATATCCATATATTAAGATGTTTTAAAGTAGTAGGTAAATGTTTTCCTAATTCTGGCCAAATCTTTTCAAGGTCATTTTCTTGTTTACCTAATGAGAATAAACTAAGTATCTCTAATCTACATCCTGGAACGTTAAGGATTTCTATCAATGAAGGAATTTCATCTGCGCCAAGTGCAATACCAAATTTTTTCAATTTTGGCTGCCATTTAGTAATACTTTGTATAATGGAAGTAGATAATCCATCATGTTCTTCATCTTCCCATGGTTGATAATGTACTTCTTCCAAGTCTACAGGATTTTTTTGAATTGCGGAAGCAATAAGATGACCCCAGAGAAGTGAAGATTCTACAACTTTTACTTTACGGAGATTAGGAAATTCAGCAAGCAAAATTTGATCCAATTGACAACCAGGGCCGTTGGTACAACGACGAATATCTAATTCTTCAAGATTTGTGCAAATGGTCAATGCATGAATAGAAGTTTCACCAGGGAAAGGAATTCCATGAAGAATAAGTGAAACAAGTGTATCAGCTTGACTTGCGAGTGGTGTTAAAACACTTGGTGAAAAACCATTAACTGTATCATAGCATGTAAGAGAGAACCCTCGTAATTTTGATTGAGAAAATATCAAAGAAGACAAGTATTGTAAATCTTCAAAGTTACGAAGGCCAGCTTCTGACGATTTTATAACGGACAAATATTCTATATTTTCAGCTTGTTTAAGAAGTGCGTCAAATAAAAATGGATCAGAAGTATAACGGATAGTTAAATCTTTAATATTCTGAAGAGATAAATCAACTCCCAAAGAATTTTCCATAACAGGTGAAGTATGTTTGGTTGGTCGATCCAATTTTAACGAAGTAATAGTTGAGTTATTTCCAAAAAACAAACGGCACAAAGCATAATATACTGAAAGAGCAGAATTATTAATTCCAGAAACGCTATTAAATAAATAATTTAGTATAAATGAATAATAAATCATTTAAGTATAAAATGAATAATTTAGTATAAATGAATGATTGAAATTGAAAATTCAAATAGATCTTAAAAAAAAACAATTTTCTTATTCATGTAGCTTTGGTCACAAATGAAACTTAATTGGATCAAAAAAAAATGCACACC